AAAAAAAAAAAAAAAAAACAACCAGCAATGACAACTGCTGCAAAAAAAGCTGGGCATTGTGGCGGGCAACTGTATTCCCAGCTACTCAGGAGGCTAAGGCAAGAGAATCGCTTAAGCCCATGAGTTGGAGTTTGCTGTGAGCTGTGATGCCATAGCACTCTACTGAGGACGACAAAATAACACTCTGTGTTTAAAAAAAAAAAAAATCAAAATTGCACCAGCTATTTTAATGAAATTGACATGACCTTCTAAAACTTACAAGGAAGGCAAAGGACTTAAAATACCCAAAGAGTTTTAAAAGAACAAGGAAGTTAGAGACGTGCACTGCAAGATTGTGGCAGTCATGGGCAGGGCGCATAGTAGGCATTGTCCAGACATCCACGTACACAGTTGATGATACTCAACAGAAGCATGAAAGAAATGCAAGTGGGTTTAACATAGAGTGTTCATGCTACAACATAAATCACTCAAAAAATCTTTGGTTTTTTTCTAACAGAAAAACTTGGGGCCAGGTGCACTGCACCTGGGGAGACCCAGCACTCAGGGACACCAAAACAGGAAGACCACCTGAGGCCGGAGCTGAGGCTGCAGAGAACTTCGATAATGCCTCTGCTCTCCAGCCAGGGCAACAGAGCAAGAACAGCATGAAAAGAAAAACAAAATTCTCTAGATCAAAATGCAGCAGCACAAAGCAACATCTACCACATGCAGTGACAAGTGTCATCGTTCCTGTCCTTAACTTTGGATCCCTCACCTTGGGCACCTACTTGCTACAAAGTAGCTCTCTTCCAGGCATCAGTGACCTGGGTCTGAGCAGACATGGGCATGCACATGTGCCCCCGACCCCACATAGCCAGCAGCTCTCTGCAAACACCCCACACTGTGTTGTGGTGCTCACATCATGGAGGTGTTTCCACGCATGCCGCACAAATATCTGTTTTGTTCACCATTTCTCATATGAACACACAAATATATCTACACTCAAGGGCATTCCAGGATGCTCCTAAATCCTATACACATTTTAAATTTCTGAGGAATAACCTGGAGAGAAAGAACATTCACAGTGGTCCAAGTAGTAACAAATACAAGAACATTATTACCAACATTTTTAACCAAAGTTGAATAGACCTAGAGCTAAAACAGATCACTTCAATAATTTGTAAAATGCCAAAATGTACATCTATAGAGAGCTCCTCCCCCTGCCACCAAGGACATGTCTATGATGCCACGAGCCCCTTCTCCTTCCTTTTGTAAAGGGGAAAGAATCATAATTAACAATTTTCCAACCAATAATTCAGTGCTTACTGGGTGCCAGATATTTAAATATTGTACAAATAGTTCAATACAAACTTTTTCATATGATAAAAATATAATGCAAGGTGGGGTTGCTTTACATCAATGTCTTTACAAAGAAAACAAATATTGAAAATATTCCTAGAACATTCAGTGAAAAGCACAAAACATTATGACACCTTGGGCACCTACTTGCTACAAAGTAGCTCTCTTCCAGGCATCAGTGACCTGGGTCTGAGCAGACATGGGCATGCACATGTGCCCCTGAACCCCAGTTTTTGTTTTCATGCTGTTCTTGCTCTGCAATCAGTCAAACATAGATGTCTCAGGTGAGAACTGCCTTGTTTCCTGAGAAGCACAGCTGCCAACACGTGCCCTGGACCTGCCCTACCCGTCCCTCCACTGCTCACTTTGGCAGCCCGCACAGCCTTGATCTTTAGCAGCATGTCCACGAAGGCCACCCGGACCTTCTCAGAGTTGTCATGGAGACTGTACCCAAGGGTAGGCAGGAGCTGCTCCAGCAGTGGGTGACTCAGCCTGTTGTCCAGAACCATCGGCAGGCACTGTGAGAGAGAGGAAGATGAACAGCTTACAGCAAGAACACCCAACAAAGGGTCAGGCATGAAAATGCTTAGTTCCACCTTCACCAGGACTCGTGAAACCAACAGGCTTTCGGAAACAATGTTCTCTCAACACGCTTCTCTGAGAACAAACCTCTGACAACCCAGTGCAATTTCAACCACAGAAACAGAGCACCTACTGGCAGCACCATCTCCAAAGACACCACATCCAAGATTCCATTTTCTATGATTAGAGACAGAGTCTCACTGTCACCCAGGTAGGAATAAGATGGTACCGTCAAGCCCTCTACAGCCCAGAGCCTGGGCTCCAGCATCTTCCTGTCTCAGCTGCCCAGTGCTGGGAACACAGGGATAGCCAGCGCACCTAGGCGTTTTTATCTTTTTAACAGTGCATGAATGCTCTGTATTTCCTGATGGATATCGATACTGCTCAACAACTTGAGGAGTAGTTCAACCTGTACCCTCAGCCTGACAGGCGGTGCCTAGACTGGCAGGCAGAGCTCCTGCCAGTACCAGCCCCAGATCCGATTCCTGCCCCTCCTTCTCTTCCCAGTGATTAGGAGAAAGAATATTTTTGTAGATTCTTATTAAAAGTATTTACAATATGCCACAAAAGTGTATTTTTATGAACATTTTTTTAAAATAGTATCTGTTCCTTTTCTTAAGTACTGTGCCCAAGGTCAGTCAGAGGTGACTGGCTCACCTGCTCCCTCAACGCCAATATCCATCCACCTTGGTTGAGGCCATCCCCACACTCTGCACCCTCGGCTGCCACATTGGGGATCAACATTCAGGAAGAGCCCTGCCCAAGTCTTCATGGGCCACATCACAGTAGCATCGGGCATACCCTCATCACAAGCCACAAACAATCTCCACATCTGAGCCACCTGCCAGACAGGCTCAGTCTATCACCTGAGCCCAGCCACAGAGATGCAGCCAGAGCCACAACCAGAAATCCCAGGCTAAACCATCACAAGGTAAGGAGTGGGGAGGTCCCTGGGAGTCCTGCCCTCAGCCGAGATCTACAGAACAACAGAGTCCCACCAGAAATGGGCAAGCAGAGGGAATGAGGGTTTGCAACACTGTTCCAACAGACAAGGACAGCATAGACTCAAATTCTGCTCAGAGAGCAAAAAGAACAACAGTGAGATACCATGGTAAATTAACCTTGCTAGATATGCTTTGTTGGTATAAGGGACCTGCAAGACACTGCAGGGTGGACCAGGGGGTGAGCAGGGGCAGAATATCTGAATAATTCAAGTTACCCCAAACACAGAAGGATCTATACAAAGCACCTGGAATAGAATCCCACAGTAAAGGTTTTCAAACATTTACTATCTGTGAAGATAACAAGAGCCTCCTTGAAGTGAAGAAAAGCACCAGCTGAGCATAGTGCAGTGACCAGCTGAGTGTGGGGCACACTGAGGCCTGGCCCTGGAGCAGGGCAGGCCTGGCCCCTGCATGTCCTCCAAGATCCCTAGTGACAGGCACCACCACAGCTGGCACCACTGATGGGGCTGTGCCCTGGCCCACAGGCACATGGTGTCGTTTTGTGCCCACAGACTGCGAGCCAATTCACACATGTGCCAAACTTCTCCAAAGCATTGCAGAGACAAAGAGGATAAATGTAAGGTGCTGGGACCCTCCCTCTATGTGCTAAAAGCTGTTCTTTTAAAGTAGCCATTTTTTGTTGTTGAAAACACTATCCGTTTGGTTTTTAAAAGCCTCACTTAGATACACAACAAAAATGTCAGCAGTTAGCCCTGTGGAATAAGGTTATGGGTGACTTCTACCTTTTCCCTTCTCTTTATTTTCCAACTACAATAAGTATCGCTTACATACTTTTAAAACTCTCACCTTAAAGACAGAACAACGGACATCTGCTGAACTTGTATCAAGCACCAGCTCCTCTGTCACCTTCTTCAGGAGGTCGATGAGAATGGTTGGAGGAACCATTTCCCAGTACTTGGAGGTTATTTTACAAACACCAAGGATCCCTGTGGAACGGACCATCGGGTAAGGATCTTCTAAAAGGCTCTATAAGTAGGAAGGGAAAAAGGCTTAAAAATCTTAAATCAGTTCCCTTTACATCAATATTTGCTTTATACACTAGCACTCTGGGGAGTCACACTTAACAACAGACACTCCTCCATGCTATGGAAGTATCAGTGACACATAGATTTCTGGATCTCAGAGACTCTGAAGAGAGCAGCACTGAACACATGGTGCCTCACCCACTGCCCCACACAGGGCTTCTGGCACAGCAGGGCCTCAGAGCCAGCTGGCCATGCAGGGAGGGTTGCACACCGATGACCACGGCAGGCATTCAGACTGGCTGCGGCCCACACACATCACTCTCAGGAACCCCAACATGCTATTACTATAATGCACTGATCCCAGAACAAACTGATTCTACTTGTAACAAGCTGATCCAGGTCACACTGTCAAGAGGCTGCTAACATGACAAAAAGAGATGCCACATGTGCCCCCTGGGAGAATACAATGTGGGCAGGAAGTGATCTCACACTACAAACCATAAGAAAAGAGCCTGTGCACCCCTCCACATTTAACTAAAATTTATAGGCAAAAGGCAGAGAAATACACTGAAGGCATCAAAGGAAGGGTTCTATAAAATTCAGACTCATGGAATAATTTGGCTCCAACAAAACAAAACAAAAAAAGACCAGAAAAAGAAAGCTGTAAACTTATAACCAATCTATCAGCCAGTCACAACATGTGAGCCTTAATTAAATACAGATTCAAACCAAACAGGAAAAACCGTGAACTGTCATTCCTTAATGACTTAAGGAATCGGTGTCCATTTTTCTTTAGCTGTGATAACACCATGAGCATGTCTTAAAAAAGAATCCTATCTTTTAGCAATACTTCTGAAAGTATTCAGAGCTGAAATCACATGAAGTCTCAGATTTGTTCTAAAACAAGGAAGGAGATCAGGCCAGGCCTGGGCAGCAAAGAATGAAACTTGTAGGTGCACAGAGACAGTGACTCCAGTCCTATCCTTTAGTATGCAGAAAATGTTCCATGGTAAAAGTTTATTTAAGGACACAAAGTAGTTTATTATTCCTCTTCAATTAGAAAAAAAGGACTTCAAGAAGGATAAGTATTTAACCCTTCTCTTCCCCAAAATCTGACCAAAATGACAAGTAAGGCAATAGAGAAAAGTTCTCGTCAATAACAAACCAAAAGACTGAGGAACCTGTATGAGAAAGCAAGCGAGTAAGGGGCAGACCTGTGGAGAAAGGTGCAGAAGCAGCTGCCCTGCACGTGTCCCAGGAGGCTGCTAGAGGGGCAGCTGTGCTGCCCACAGGAGCCCAGACCTGTCTCCAACCCACCATCCAAGGGACAGGACAGAGGTCACAGGCTCCAGGCAGACCCAGGGCGGCAGGGCAGGGCAAACACCTGCCCTAGGATGAAGCCTTGGAAATGGCTTCTCAGCAAAATGCCACAGAGGTCCCAAAACAGGTATGTGGATCACAGAAAAGAGCCAATAGTGACTCAAACCTTCCATGGAGGGACAAAAAGGGGAAATGATGCTACCTAGGGGGACAGGCCCAGAGAACTAAGGAGTCCCTGCAGCCACACCAGCTCTGTGCAACCCCACAGGCAGCCCTGGCCAGAGATAGGACACTATAGCACGGTGGCCTCATCACACCAACCCTTTATCCAAGGACCAGTCTTGTGAAAAAAAGCACATAGCAAGGAAAGATGCAGCTTAGTCCCCCTACTCTGCACCCCTGCCTCTCTCTCCTCTTGCTAATGACAGACCACAAACTCAACACCTTGATGTCTGGAAATCAGGAGCGAGTCCACTGGCCTTCACCACAGCGCTCTTCAGTGGAACAGAACCTGGCCAGGTCCCTCCAGGAAGAAGCCCAATGTTAGGAAGATGCTACAGACTTTATGGTGCAGCCTGTGGGTTTGGGTCATGTATCCCTAAAGTGCAGGTTTCAAACCCAGCAGGGGGAGGCCTGACAAGCATAGCCCTGGGGAGGGGGAGACACCAAATGTGCCATAGCCAGGGCCAAGTGTGTCAGGGTGAACAGGCACCTCAGAAGCAGAGCGGCCCTGCCCCTAGCAACCAGCATAACTTTACAAATCTGAGGACCTATCTTTAGAATTTACAAATTTTATACACTGTTTTCTATTAATTATTTTTAATAAAAAGATACTCTGGACAATCACAATATAGCCACATTTGTCTGCGATCGCTTTTGTCGTCACCAGAAGACAACTCTGCTTATACCTTGTAATGTTGTCACCAGAGACTTGTCATTGCAGCTCTACATCTACAGATGTCATGGGGCCTTCTATCTTCTTAAAAAGGCCTCCACATTCCTCAAGTTTGAGAATCACTAATAGAGCAGAAAGTACCAGGGAATAATCACTGCTCCCACCCAGCAGACATCCCCCTTATCAGTCCGCGGGAAAGAGGCTCAGCAGAAGGCTCTGAGCACTTAGCCAACTTCTGCAGACAGCACCCACCAGCCACATGCAGCCAGAGCCTGGGTCTGTAAGTCCATAGTGCTAGGAATAGTTTCTGTATTTCTAAATGGTTGAGGAAAAAACCAAAAGATCATCATTTTGTGACATGTCAAAATTACATAAAATTAAAATATCATTGTCCATAAAGTTGCTTTTATTTAGAGACAGGGTTTCACTCTGTGGCTATGTAAAGGCAATGCCACACACACGGAGCCCTGGGCTCCAGCGAACCTCCCACCTCAGCATCCTGAGGAGCTGGGACTGCAAGGTGTGGCCACTGTCCACAGTTTTACTGGGACTCATTGTCCTATTGGTTTGTGTGCTGTCCACAGCCATATTTGGCCTGCAGTGGCAGCAGGCTAGCTTTAAATATGTGCCAGCTCTGTCTCTAAAAACATTTTTTAAAAAATAGAACTAGGGGCTCGGCTCCTATAGCTCAACCGGCTAAGGCGCCAGCCATGTACACCTAAGGTGGTGGGTT